ATATATATATATATATATATATATATATGTATATCTCAAAATATCAAATTGGAGTCGCACGCTGTGTTTTACTTGAATAATAGCTATACATGTAATGAGTACCTTCTTGAATCTCCTGTCGCAACATGTAATCTGTTGTGCCCTTCCACCACGCCTGAAGCAACTCGTGCTCCTCATTGGATCGGACTCTGGACATGTTTAATATCTAGTTATGTACAACTGAAATGATGTTTGGTGTTGAATTGCATATGTTCTTGTTGTCAAACGCTACTTATAAAATTATTGTAGCCAAATAATTAAGTGGATGATTTGACAAGTCTATAAACAGTTACACAGCACTGCCACGTTGATATTCATAATATCCAACTGAAGTCTGAAGCCTGAAGGTCTGAAGACAGTGAAGAGAGAAATAGCAAAAACCCTTCCTGATCTTATTGTTTTTGTTTTGCTTTGTTCTATTTACAAAAAAAATACATAAAACGTAAAACGTATCGAGACTATCGACTATCGAGGCTATTTTGGGCTTCATGCTGGGCTAGTTTGAGGTCGCGACATGTCGTCTGAAAAAACATGTAAACGACCGTCGCGACGTGTCGTAATAAATCATGTCGTATGTCGTATAAATATACACACTATACATGTTGTCATACATACTGTCGGAAACTTTCAGAATTTTCATGCTCACCCATTGGTAATCGATGAAAGGTCCCGTGATGATTAGCGAAATTTTCGGATATTGATCATTCAGAGGGTCTAATTTCTTCAATCTTGAGTCGGCCATAAGATATTCGCGACATGTACCCCTAAAAAAACATTTAAAAACGACCGTCGCGAGGTGTCGCCATAGGCAAAAGACATGTCGTTTACCAGCCCAGGCCTCCCCAATATATAAGTGTATAAACTAAAGACAAAAGTATCCCGTTACGAAGTGCCATCACAGCTACGACTGATGAGTGACCACATAATTCAAAATTGATTGGCGACACGGAAGTGCAGAACGGTCGGCCGTTCCTATTGGCTCTATGATTAAAGATTGAGATTGCGAGTTGTGAACAAATATATAGTTGTTTTATTTTAAACAAAACCCCCCCAAAAAAACACCAAGTAAGGCTACATAAAAGTAAACTTGTAAATATAGAGTAATTTGGTAATAAAAAGTCTATTTCATCACTCATGCCACCCACTGTACTCCCTGTCAGGCTGTCAGGCCGTATGTACTCCTTGTCAGAGTTTGCCACAAAGCCCCGCCTGTTCTGAATCTCATACTCTCGACACTTACTCACTAACAAGGCTCAGCCGCTCGAGCCAGTAACTTTCACATCTTCCGCTTCGAACATTTTAGTCATACGGAGTACTTCTCAAAATTGACTGTAGGAACGAAATTGATCATACCGCTCCCATTACCACACAAGCTAGACAAGTGCAGAATGTAACTTGATTTAGATTTGCCCTTGTAATAGGTAGTATTTATCTTTACGCAATTTTTGCACATGCTGTACTTCTCAGATGATTCAGCTGTAGGGGAAAATGCCACCATTTCATTTCCATTTCCACAAGTGCTAGACAAGTGCAGAATGAAAGTTGTTTTAGATTTGCCCTCATAAAAAATGATACACCTCGAGTCCACATCATCGGCTGCAGGTTCAGCCATCTCAGGCATACCGCAGGTTCTATCTTCTTCAAAACTATCATTCTCAGCGGAAACTTCCTCTACGTCAGCTTTCAATTCAACTTCCGAGTTATACTCAGAGAACCCCTCATCCAGATAGTCCAACAGTGTAGCCTTATTATCTGCGCACACCTCTTCATATCTTTCTGAAATCTGCGTCTCGGACCCTAGATCAGTAGCTACCAGAGGTATATTTGTTGCTATTCCCTGATCATCGATTACAGCCCTGTCTCTAGCATTAAGCTGTTCCACCGCCTCGTGTTTGATACAACTCGTACATATCTCTTTTTTCTCTCCTCACTGCCTCTTCGCGTGACAGCTTTAATGCCTTCTCCGACTTCAGGTTTCCGCATTTGCTTTTCAAATGCAAAAGGCCTTCCTGACTTGCCGCCGCCATATAGTAGGTTTGGATATTGCTGAGCCGCGGATCTTCAGATACATACAGTTTTTTCAAACAGTTTCTGCACAATTCTTTCACATCGTTGACCACTTCCGTAACGATTCTATCCTTATCATCGCATTTCTGTACCAGCGAACAGCCATCACTTCTGGAATTGGTAAAGTGAATTTTTCCACCATCTTTGGAGCATACGCGAAACAGTGACAGACATGGTGGGTCTAAATAAACTACCTGTCAACAGGCGAAGATCTCGATTATATATACTTTTTACAGCCCCCTGTGTGGTCTGTGGCTTGTGTCCAAACTTCAACAGCTTGATATTTGTAGATAAAATTCAGAAATTCTTTTTCTCTCTGATCAGTCGGATGACTTATCAATGAGTCAGAGAGACTTGTTCAGAAGATATTTTTCTGACATGTTCTCTTTCCGGCTTCTAATACATAGCCATTTTTCATTTTTGGGAGCATTAATATTGAAATGATATAATATATAAAAATAGATCGAATCCAGACTTCATTTCGGTCAGTTCAACAGCGACTCTTCGTGAGAGAGTGCTGTTTGTTTGAAATATGTCGACTTGTTTGTTTTTACTGTTTGTTTAAAAAAAACCAAACCAAAAAAAAACAATAAAACAAAAATAGACCCGAGTGACCCGACTCTCACTCAGCAGTCAGCGACTCAGCAGTCAGCGGCTCAGCAGTCAGCACTGCAGTTAAATAGCAGTAGCCCGACTGCCCGTCGCCTTTGGCTTTTCAGTTTTCAAAAAAACAAAACAAAAACAAAACATAACATTGTTTATACTTTTGCTCCAGGAGTCCAAGGGCTCAGGGAGTCAGGGAGTCAGGAAATTATTGACATTGCAAGTGTTTGATTCTTGCTACATACAAATCATGACATCAAACCGTTGTCTTCTCCCTGTCAACTGCGTCAACCATATCCACTGTATTCATATCCGGTTTCGCTTCATCTTTTTTAAGGAGCTCGTAGTACGTCAAAGATCGTTTCAGAAATCTGTCCAGCGATTGTGGTACCTTCCTCTGCAATTGATGGTATCCCTCGCGTGCCGAAGTATACACCTTCTCAGGTGCCAGTTCGTGCATACAGGGCAATAGGAGCGAGCATATGACATCCACAATTCGTGCCTCTCTGGTTTTGAGTTCGTGTCAGAACGGAGTGGCGAAGTGAGTATTTACATCAGAAATAGTGGATAAGGCACACGAGATTGGACAGTAGACGATAGTACTGAGCTGTGAAAATTTATGGGAAGTACGTACCAATCTCCAAGCAGCATAATATAATGAAAGGGATGACCTCGTGATACAAAACTTGGAAAAGCACTCGGTACGAGATCAGGTTCTGCGCACAAATAAGCACATAGAAAGCACATAAATATACAATCCGCTGATAAAATAGCACATATTCATACATTGTTCAAATACTTCCCACTTACTTGTCGTGTTGGCCGAGAGCAGCTTCATTTGCATTGACATTGTCATCGGCCTCGTCACTGCCTCCACCAAAGTCTGCGTGCGAGTCATTTACCAGCATATTACCGATGAGCTCGTCTAGCTCAGCCATTGGGCCCTCAACCACCGCCTCTGTATCAGTGACAATACTATTCATTCCATTTTTCACTGCCCCACCCTGAGTTTGCAGTGTATCTTTTCCCGAGGTATTTCTTCTCTGTGACGAAGGCAACTCCTCCATCGGGCCACTTGTCACGTGCTTGGTCCTTTCCGGTTCCTTTCCAACGTCCCTTCCAGCACCATTCGGCGTCTCTACATCTTCCAGTGGAATATGCTCGGCAATACACACCACACATCGAAGTAGCTGGAACCAGAGGTCGCCGTACACGCTACTGACTTTACTTGACCCGCGCGGCAGAAAAACTGCACCTGAATCGGCCCTCAGTAACCGCAGTGTGGGGGATAGTGTGGGCTTCCCTTGTGAGTCCAGTGCAAACACACACGCATCACACACATCCGCCACGTCTGACGTCGCAATTTTAGACCCAGAGTTGGGTTTCTGGCTGTTTGGACCACATGTATGCCTGCTACATTCTGGCGGTGGTAAGTTGTGCCTGCAACTTGTCAGTTCTGAGGATTCGTGTGCATGGTTACATGCTTGTGCCCTTTCCCTCGTATTATCGATGCGTAGTGAGCTGTGTCCATCAGTGAGTGTACCCGTAATGGCCCCTAGTACGCCGGTACCTGAACCTTGACCGAGTCCGAGATCTTTCTGTAATATAGGCAGCAGATCATCTGTATGGGTATAATGATTTCTGTGTCAATATAAAACTTACTCTAGCGAGTGTACGCGATTGGCCTACTGATGTATAAATATACTTCCTGGCATTGATTTCACGCATCTGCTAATATTTGTAGCTAATGCTCCTACCACTTGCTAAAGTGTGTAACTAATGCCCTTATTACATGCTAGCCTTGTAGCCAAGTCCTTGCCACCTGCGGCGATACAAACATAGTCATGGGGCACCCACGCCTCTGTTTATGTATGCAAACATATAATACATACCAATAATACGGACATGTATACAAGCATAAAGTAGACTAATAACAACACGAATATGAATGCAAACATGCTGAAGGTACCAACAACACGGATATATACGCAAAAATCCATTACTTACCAACTACACGGGTCTTAGCAAACCAAGTGCTCGTCTCGATGATTGCGCAGACACAGTCCAACGCAGCCATACGTACACGAGGATTACGATCGCGGAGTCGCAACAGTAAAGGTGGCCAAAACAAGTGCACCATTGGATACAGCTCGTTCTCTGCGTGGCGTATGATCGAGAAACAGCCGGCGATTGTCGTACAAACCTGTGGATATAGCGATTTCGACGGGATAGTTCAACTGTTTGAATCATGTGAGGTTTAAAAGACAATCGATGTGATATCTCATAGCAACAACGCCTAAACCATGCCATCTGGATCCTCTCTCTGATATGACGTGCGTGAGCAAATCGGCGGACAAATGCACATTTAATACACGTGTATGCGATTCACAATGTATAAAAGCAAACCAATAATCTGACGTCCTCTAGCAAGACAATTACTCTTCTATGCGACTAACTATATGCCATTGCACGGAAAAAGACCTCTCAGATCTCTTTGCAAACTATACACGTACCTGTATGCGAGTTACGTCATCTTCATCGCTCATGAAGTGCTGCAAGACATCCATGATCGACTTTGTAACGGCCTGATACGGCTTCATCGGAGGTTCCTCCTCTTCTGCAAGGTTCAGACAAAACGAAAGGAACAATTGAACCATCATTTGACCACCGTTTGACAGTATAACATTAGTGTACATGTCAGTTGGTGTGATTGTATGAATAGGAAGTACATATAGCCGTGTGCCATGATACGACTAGTGTCTGTGACAGGTGGATGGGAAATTAGAATAAATGCACCGTCGAGTTGTTTGTGCAATCAACTTATCACTATGGGGTACTGCCTGACATGGCCAGTGTGTGCCGACCTGAACATGCCAATCCAATACACAAGCTGGTGAGGATAGGATGTTTACACAGAACCGGTTCAGGTCCAGCAAATAAAATGTGTGTAGTTTATTATGTTGAGCATTGTACTTCAGCTTCCGAACATTCGAGCGCTGATTTCAAACACAACGCCACGGAGCCAAGAACACGAGGTTGTGACGTATCGAAAAGGACGCCTGGTTTGATGTCAAGCACGGGAATAGCAACTTAGGCCTGATATCAGTATCGGAAGCGGTTTGCTTGTAGAATTCTCAGACAAGCAACACTCACAAAAAACCCCCCAAAAAACCTAGCCCCTAATAAAACAATGTAACAAACTCCCACTCCCTATCGGGAACTTGATCTTACTTGTGAGTTTCGGGGACACGAGCTCCGGCTGACAACCATGTGCACAAAATTGAACCCTAAACCCAAACTCCCCTAAGCCATAAAATCTAGCAAGCTCAGTCTGTGCTCGATATAAATTCCCGATGCATACCAGGATCCTGATCCCACTTGCGCGTCGCAGGGACAAGGTCATCAGTTGACAACCACGTGTGCACGTTCGAGACCACTGCAGCAAAGACGGGCAGATACATGCGGATGTATGGTGCATTATACGCCACACGGTCCACCATCTCAGCCAGCACATCCGATAGTATGGGGAGTACATCGCAGGTGCTGTTGTCTAGGATTACTCGCAGTACTGAGGCGGCTTGCGGGTAGAGTTCTAGGGTGGTGGGAAGGCATTGGTTATGTTTAATGTAACGTTTTTGAGCGCAATCAACTTTGCGTATAGAAAAGTAGAAAAGGCGATGCATAGGATAGTATGGGTAGTCTGTCGATAGTTCACTCGAAGTACAGAGGCAACTTGTATGTTAATTTCTGTTGAGGACAGGGATAAACAGGATATTTCATATATAGCATTTGGTAAGTTGTATCAGGTAGCACAATAATAAGCCATTGCGCATGGGAGAGTACGGACAGCCCGTTTCGGGTACTGTCGTCTATCAGTGATCACTCGAATGCAGAGACGGTTTACGGGCAGAGCAGATGGTAAGAAATATGTACGATGTTTACTGTGTGAGGTGATTGGAGAATGTATCAACGAGCAAAATGACACGCCGATGCATCGATAGTATGGGTACTACATTGTACATTTTCGAATTCGGAGCTGGTTTATGGGTAAGAACAAATATGCAAACACAGGCAATCGTTGAAAACGTACAGAACCAGATTGAAGGTACTTTTCCGTGGCGGTAAGGGTCATACAGATACATACTTACGAGCAGACACTTAGATTAGAACCATACCTGGGTACAGCAGATGATGCGACACCGTATCGATGACAACATCGATCTGAGATCGGATGAGAACATTTAGGTTGCCGCTGCCACTCAAGGTAACTTCAGCGTTCAGAGGATCAACCCCTTCCCGCTTTATCCGACTATCCCATTGATCCACAGGCTGTTCTGTATACTTCATAGTTGTGGCTGCGATCGTACTAGACTGTACGTATAGATCGACATGCCTGTGGGTATGAGGTGTATTGTCTGTGGGTTTGGGCATATGTGTGCTTGGCGGAGACGGCACTGTTTGTGACTGTAATCGCAGGCGCGTTTGCTCGGGGCTGTAGTACTGGATGGCCTTCATGACATACACAGCCGAAGCACTGATCAACGGCACGCCAGACGCCAGACACTCTAACAGAGGGTACAACACAGTCATCACAAACATATCATGTGCGCGTGCATGCGCCTCATCTCGCTCTAAAGTTGTTAGTATGGGACCCGCCCGATAATCCGTGTGTGTATGTGCGTCTTCTGTGTGTGGGTCTTCCGTAGACAGCTGTGAAGGTGTGTGGCTTTGTGATATTCCATCGGCCTCCCCATGTGTGTCACAACTCCCGTACACCTGTACCCACACAGCCAGAGCTTCCAGTAGTAAGCATACAAGTACTTTCCGCTCACTCGATACATGATTGCTCCCCCTGGAGGTCGCCAGATCGAGCGTCGCAGAGTACGTTCTATTTATATCAGGCGAATCCTCGTCAAACAGGAGCGCACTACTAGTGCGTCCCCCACCCAGCCCTTGGGTGTAACCGTGTGTATCAGTGTATGTGTCTGTAGGCGTGTGTGCATGTGTGTCTCTATCTGTCTTAAAGGTCTGCATGCCGAGTCTTTCGACGAGCACAGACAACAACAGCGCCGCGCTACCCTCCGGTGAAGTACCCCATCCGTTGTCATCGCTGGGGGTTTGCATCATTTCTGTCAGTATCAGACACGCCTGCCGGCTGTTCATAAAAATGACAAAATATTTGCGAATAAGACTTTGATATTTGCCAAACACGTTCTACAAAAAGTAAGAAGGATACTGTACCGGACGTACATAGGAGTATTAGTGTGCGGCGCGGATGTATGACATAAACGGTACTACGGTTGGAACGACGGCCAGATTAGAGCACGCAAACAACATTCGCATTCAGATCAAAATGAAAATTGATCGTATCGTATTGCAACAAAGCCTCGGCACATACCTTTGTGAGCTTTCCTCGTCTTGTAAGGCTGGTATGAGCTTTTCACACACAATCTGTAGACTCACACTAGAACCGAGTTCCCGGCACAGCGCCCGAATACACTGAGACGAGGAAGAAAAATAGGTGAGTGAAGGCTGAGACAATCAGTGTACGTGTGATGTTACATAAGCAGCCATGTGTCATGGGCTCGGAGCGATTGCGATTCCGGTTCATTCTGGTTCACCGCCACACATTCGGATCATTTAAAGATATACTGGTATGCACTACAGCGTATAGACAAGCGCGCTAGTAGTGTAAGCAGACAATGAAACAGTACAGCACGCATTGACTTTCCAGTGCATGTGTGGTGACACGTCTCAGTTGCATTATACCTACTGCGGGCGGTCTGAGTGAGAAACAGCCTGCAGATCCATGTACGCCGCTAAGAATTCAACCTGAAAATCAGTTTATCGCCTTTAAAAGCATGGTCACACTCCAGCCTTTGCCTGAGTCTAAATGGTTTCTCAAGAAGCGTGGTATAAGTCTACTTTCGTTGCTCCGCTTTGACTTCGCAGTCTATCGCTAAGCATTACTTATAGGTACCGAACAGCAAATTGCTCCCAAGCAGGGGTAGCTATGCGTGTAGCCCTCAATTCGAAGACACCAAAAGCTAAATAGATTAAAAATGCAAGCATACAACCGAAGGACGAGAACATACAAACAAGTGAGCACGCATGCATCTATATCACTTATCACTGTCGATATTGGAAGTGGTACTGACTTCTATATCTAAACTCCACTATGCGATGAACATAACTCACTTTCGCCACTTTCTCGTCCCTAAAGTACTTGAATCGTTTAGGCAAGGGTGGTGGCAGGCGCCCAAAGTTCTCAGTATTGTCGTTGGCAGCTTCTGGGGCGCCGCTTGGTATAGTGTGTGCAGCCGATCCGTCACCTGCAGGAGATGTACATTGAGAATGAACAAAACGTGCCAAACAACATGCAGGGATAAGTATTACTTTATGGTTCGTGCTATAGTTTTAAGTTAAGGCTGAGCCGTTACCTTCAAGACATGTACATATCGTAAAAGTACATAATTGGTCAGCAATGTGTAACTTGGAGCTACAACATAAACACTATGCACAATTTTTTTGATAGCGAACGAAGTTTATTATATGGGCGAAGTGTGCAATTTAATTCACTATCAAACATCTTGTACGTTTTGCTTCATAAAGGGCACGATATATACTATGGATATTCAGTGAGACAGAGGGCCGTCAAACAGTAGCAGAACAGGTGCAACAGCAAGATGAAGGTTGAGGATGTGAAGTATCAGGAGAGTAGGAATGAATTCGACTTGGCACTCTCACCTACAGTGGATGTGAATATTGCTGTAGTGCTACACTGACCGTCACGCACAGAATGTGATATGCCTTATACACAGATTTATCTGAGTCGATACTGACCTGCAAGCCAGACGGTCATTGAGCTGTCATCAAACGTCAGTAATTGCATTAGCATCCGCATGAGCATACTGAGATGGAGTTCGTTCCCAAAATAGGTCCTGCATTTGACCCCTAGTAGCGACACGTAGCCCCTGACGAGTCTGATACCCTCCAGTTTGTTACTGTCGTCCATAGTACGGATGTGTCGGGGAATAGACATAATCAAATCGTGTAAACGCTGCTCGACAATCGCCAGCGATAGGTTAAAAGCTGGTGCTAAACCTAAATTATGTCCAATCTCGGTTGTACGTACGTGCTTATCTGTGTGTTGTGAATCCGTGGTGTTGTCATTAACTTTTCTCGGTGGTGGTTTGGTAGGTCGCCTTCTCGTATAGTCTGCGGTCATCATCCGCGAGAGGGTCTTGACATGCGCACGCGCGAGGTCGCTCACTCCTGGATAAGTGTCGTATGTGTATCGCACCATCACATCCAGCAGATTGGACGCTAAGCCTCGCAAAGCAGTGGGACACTGAGTCAGCAGATCCATGGCAAAGGTCGCAAACTGAACACGAACTTCGGAATTGGGATGTGATGTGACGGTGCAGATCTTGCGGAGTGTGGGGGCTATGTTGCCAATGGTGACCTCTGCCCATTGCACTGTGCGTATACTCTCGAGCCCTCCCTTTACACCTGGTATCATTCAGAACATGGTCGTTGCGTGTATGAATATAACAGAAATGCAAGTGGGTGGACGGCTAAAACTTATAAGGAATCCATCGCGAGCAATACACTTCTTCATAATAACATAGTTAACACAGAAGCGATACAGTGGAGAGGCTTGCGCGTTGGCCAGATCTAATTTCTATGTTAATCTGCAGTATAACACATATCTGAACAGTCTCGAACAGACTAGAACTATACCTCATACAACAAAACAACCTCACAAAAACCAAAATGTGATCTAATGTATCTAACACACACTGCAGCTACATCTTTTCAAACTAACAATCTCACATACGCAAAAGTCATATCTAACATAAACCTGTGCATACCGTCTCGGCTTGTCTTATTGTCTGCGTGGGCTGTCGGTGTAGCTGCCGAGGTGATACTCAATTGCATGCTCTCATTGCTGTTGCGCAATGCTTCTAATATTGACCTATCAAGACTCTTATCGCTTAGGCACCCCACCACTACACTCGCCCAAACGTCTAAAGCGAGAATCGTAACCTACATGCGAGTGTAAAGGTGGAGAATTCATCAGATTTTGTAGAATGCGCTGCGATACTGCGATCACTACGGTTCGTTATCTGCTGATATTTGAGGGCCCAGATAAACTGTGTGCACTGCGACTCATTCCATAAAAGTGACACCGCGTAAACGCTTCAAAGTATTATATTCCATTGCTACTAGCTTACCCGTGTTTGAGTTAACTACTAATATGATAATCGCTACGGAAAAAAACTTTATAAAAACCTGAACCATACCCATGCACTTTTCACTGTTTGTTACATTTTCGAAACAAGCCGCCCATACTACAAATCCAATATAAAGATAGCCAGAGAACAACTCGTGTCTTAATGGACATTGTGTGCAACTAATATATATATATATATATATATATAT